CAGTAGTGTGATTCTGTAATTCGTTATTGCAGTTAACGACAATTTCGTTATCGTCGTTGCGCAGCTTTTTCGTACTGTAGAAAGGCTGCGCAACGATAACGAGACTGTCGTTAACTGCAATAACGAGTTACAGAATCGCACTACAGGAGTGCTATTTTGTACATGCGTACCGACAACTGTCGGATCGGTAGACGTCGTTGCGCAGCTTTTCTATGGTATAAAAAAGCTGCGCAACGACGTCTACCGATCCGACAGTTGTCGGTACGCATGTACAGAATAGCATCCCAGACCTAATGACCTTACATAAACAAAATCCGAGCTCGTCGGAAATGAGAAGGGCTTACGATGCTCTAAGGATTTAGTGTCCGACAACAATACCGGGACTACTGCCTCAAGGTATTAGCAGAGACGTTAGAATGCCAAGCTGATTCCAACAGCGCATCACTTCAAAACAAAAGCATTCACCTACAAAACATTACTTACCTGCACACATGTTTTTGTACGAATCGATAAAACAAAAAATCCATTGGACACACCATACGAGGGACCGTACGAAGTTCTGGAACGAACAACAGACCGCGTCTACAAAATCAACATAAAAAATAAACCGACGCAAGTCTCTACGGAAAGATTAAAACCAGGGCCCTTATTCTTGAAATTTTTGCGTATACGTAATTTTCATTGCGCAGCTATTTTATAGTATGATTAAACCTATGTAGTAAAACTTACGTATACGCAACTATTTCAAGAATAGGGGCCCTGCATTTTTTAAACATTCGCCGACGGAGCTACATCATTCGACCAAGAAGAACCTACACTTAACCAAGAACAAATACTAAAAACATATCAAAGAACCAAAGAATCAACCCAAATAAAGATAATACATTTCGCAACTCAAATATCTGAGTTAGGCTGCATTCGGAAACACACACTGGTTGCGTTCCGTTTCACGCATTATGCGCGCATTTCCTACAATATACGTAACATGATCTGTAGATAAACGCGCACATATGCGTGAAACGGAACGCGGCCACTGTATGCACACTACTAGACGATAGCCGTTGGAGCGAAATGCAAGAGTGAGATAAAAAAGAGGGAGAGTACTCGAGTAACGTTTTCGAATGCAGTCTACTGGCGGCGGAGTATTATAGCGCCTCAAGATCGCTGATTGGTTAGATCCTGACGAATAAGAAAACTCCAACACTAGTTCCTAAGTGTTACCACGTTAGCGTAGCGTACTTCTATATATTTTTATACTTCAAGATTATTACTTTTTCGAATAATAAAGTTACAGTTATAATAAAGAAGTGACATGATTCAGTTATTTCCTGCGATATCCTCCTAGAACACGCCTTACGCCCAGGAGTACCCCACATTTATGGCTCCTGCACACAGACGCTGTAATGCTTGCCGCGCGGCAAAAGTTCGCGCGATAGCCAATTAATATGCTGCTTTCCATAATAACTTTCTAGCTCTTACGGAAAAACAACATATTGATTGGCTGTCGCGCGACAAGCATTACCGCGTCCTGTTTGCAGGAGCCATTAGAAGACGGTGGTGGCTTGTAGTGGATGCTTTCCAGTTGCGTACACTGTGTTACATAAAACCAGTTTATTGGTTGCATATTACAAGATATTTTAGATAATATGTGACCAATAAACTGGTTTCGTGTGCGTGTGTGTCAAGATGTGTTAAGCAATTGGAAAGCACCCAGTGAAGACTCAGGAACTAATAAATGCTGATATTTCATGTGTCGCACGACAAATATTGCCGGATGTGTCGATTGGCTGTCTAATAGAAAGTTTTTAAGATTCCTAACAATTTCCTTATGCACCCTAGAAATTCTCTATCCAACAACCAATCAACGCATCCGACACTTGTACGCGACATGAATATTAGCCTAACCTGACTAGCCTAACTTTAAAAATATGTGCGGTTAAAATTGAGATAACGAGTGAGACTCAAAAGAGGCTAGAGAGGTAAAAAGAAGCTGAAATAAATGAGTTGTTGGAATAGTTTGTGAACCAAATATAAGAGAATGGATCGCACAAGTTTGGGTAGTTCGTTAGGGCGTTCGATAGCCTCTCCTAGAAAACGAATGTCGATAGTGCAATCATTGAAGAAAAATAGTTCGTAAGTTTCGGAACATCTAATTCTTCTATTATTGTATATACTGTATGATTGATCAATGTAACAGCTGATATAAAAATAAAATTATTCATATAATTACGTTTAATTTAATTTTAGTGCAGCAAGTGTTTCTGGGCGCACAAATCAATCTGTACAAACAATATGCAGAACAGCGAATCATACAGTTGAGAGCTTTGGATCTTCATTACCAGTTCTAGTCACTGAAGCATTAACATTCATGGATCGAAATACAGCTGTTAGTGTTAATGTATCTACAGATGGCTGGGCTTGGCTTGTTTACGGCCGCAAATTACTTGTGTGGCAGTGTAAAACCACTATTCACGATCCCAAGCAAAGAAGAACTTTCAAAACTCAATGTCGTGAATTATTGCTACCTCAGAGTGACTTAGCTCACAAGGCAGATTGTATAGCAGTCTGGCTACCTACTGATCACCAGGTATTTAGTAAAAATTAGTTATTTGTTTGCAATGACATTTGTATACTTAAATATTTTATGAAAACACAATTAAAGAGTTACTGAAAGACTTGAAACTTCTATTATATGTATTGTACATAAAATTATTTGTATTCTTATAATAGGTTCCTAGTTGTATGGCAGTGTCACCAGAAGGAATAGTACGTTTCTGGGCAAGTGTTGCACATGAGGGATCTTCTGTAGAAACTAGTGCAGAGCTTGCAGGACAAGAAGTTGATTGTCTTATGTATGTACCAGGCCATGGCTGTATTCTAGCTACTACTACATGTACAGTAGCACTTTTACAGCCACAATTTAATAATGGGAAAAATACTATCACATGTCAAGTACTGCGAACAAGTCAAGGATGGCTTGGTGGCATAGGTCGTAGAATGACTTCCTTGATTTTTGGAGCAATACCACAATCACCTGTTGCAGAAACGGTATAACTTTTATTTGTTATATAAACAGAATTGTAAATATTTAAAAAATAAATAGTCTCCTCATTATTAAAAATGAATGTTTTTCAGAATCTATTTCTAGCAATATATTTTTATATAAATATAATGTATATGTATACAAATTTTATAGAAATTAGTGAAAGTTACGTGTACACCATTGAGTGAAAAGGGTTCAAGAGTTCTCATTCTTGCTGGTTCTTCTTTGCAATATTGGTTTTTTTCTCATAATGAACAAGAAAAGATGGAATTTGATGAAGATATTACTCATATTGTTTTACAAGCATTTCAAAGAAAACTTTGGGTATGTGTATGTTCAGATATTTAAAGTATAACAGTATTACAGAAATTATTACTAATGTGTGTTTTTGTTTTAGGAATCAAGTCCATGTAATCCTCAAAGAATGAATACATGGTTTATCGATATGCAAACGTGCGAGGAAGGAATAGTCCTTTTAATGGCGGCTTATAACGACGAGGTATCTCTTCAAATACATTTTGCACTTGGTAGGTCATGTATCAATTTATAACTATTGTATAAGATAGTATTAAATATGTAGTGCTTTGCATTCATTTATTATGTTATTTTGCAGGATTAATACCTTTAAGTGGCACAACTTTGTCAAACACGTTTAAATGGTTCCTAAAGGTTCAGCTTGGTCCACTGTTCTATGTCGATGATATGGAGATGATAGAGTCAACATTAAGTTCTTATCGTTTTATATTGTCTGGCTGGGAAGCTATTATATATAATCAATATAATGTACTTGTGGTTAACAGTAAGTACATCTATGAGTTTCTAAGCAATATGATATTGTTAGAAAAAAAAACAGTGTGCTGTATTATCAAATACTAAAAATTTTTAAATATTGTAAAATTTTTATAGCTGCATCTGAAATTGATCAAGATAAAATAGATCTGGTAAGAGGTGGTGAAGACAGTATACTGGGTGGCGCTTTATGTTCAGGAACTCCAGTATTATTCACAAAGAGTGTTGGTTTAGTGTCTATTACACCAGTCGACTTTCCGACCCAAGATTTTAATACGTTTGTAGCTTTTATTAGCATAATTGTATTTTCAATATTAAAAATATATATTCCTTCTATTCATGTGATTAAATTGCAGAGGATACACGGACACTAATATAAGTATGGATTATAGCTATAAAGCGAATCAAACAGCACAGAATTTTTCTACTTTGATAAGTAATGAAGAACTTCAGGATATGTATTATAGTTCTGACGGAGCTACGCAATTACGCACCGCATTTCTTTTAAGTTTGCGTCAAAATAAGGTATATGTGGATATGAAAAGAAACGAATATTCTGTGATAACTATTATAATCTAATGTAAGTTTCTTGTGTGTACAGGCACAATGCGACGAAATCCTTTCTCAACTTTTTCCTCTACAAGAGGACCCGGTGATGGATATTGATGCTACTCTCGACACACTTATTTTGAAAGTTGCGAAGGATTTGATTGATGATTATCCAGCAAATGATCCAAGATGGGCTAATCATAGGGATTTATGTGAGTAACTTGTATTTTTGTACATTTTTTTTATATTTTACATAAATCTGATGTACATTGATTGCATTGTTATATTTTAAACATTCGTTCAATGAAAAATTCATGTTTTTAAATTGCCTTTTTGTGTAGCAATGACAGTAAATGCAGTCATCTCCATGCAAATACCTCATCAACTAGAAGGAAAACAAAAAGCATTAGATCTTTTTGTACAATTCTTGAAGGAACATAATTTATGGAGTAGAGTATGTTGAATATAATACATTTTCTGTTGTATTGCATACAATTTTAATGACTTTATTAAATTAAGATATTTTTACTCAAGTTCTGCGCAGTTACATACAGAGGAACTATCATGTCTACGTCGCATGTACTCGGTGAATATGCGGAGAAAATAGTTGCAGCTTTAACTGTATATAATCTTCAAAATAGGTACAATTCTGATATCATATATTATATAATTAATGTGTCATTCTCCATTTATATCTCTGTGTTCTTAGTGCATTATCTTACATATACATATATTTTTTTTGTTTTAGATATTCTGAGATTATAGATGCAGTGATAGGTGAAACATTGCAGCCAGAAGCTTACGTATCCGACGAACTTACGGCACGCGACATATTTTTCCGCGAAGTGAGCACAGTACATTTATTCTTACCAACTTTAGTAAATAAAGCGAGCGAAGTCACTCAATCTGAAAGACCTTTGCAACAAGTCGGACAGTACATTATGCAAGTTAATTCTATTTTATTGGTGAGTCAATAAGACGATGGTAGAATATCGAAATGAAGCAGCTCACATATGTGAACATTTTCTTTAATTTCTTTGTTACCTTTTCATTCTATCTCTAATAGGCTGTGTTACATGAAGTAGTGAAATATCGTCAATATAACGCTGAACGGTTTGTTCCTGCAAAATGTTCAAATGTGATAACAGAGTATCTTCCTTGGACAGCAAAATCAGGTAAACATGGCTTAAGGAATTGTCTCAACACAATGGTATGTATTGTCTTCGTATCTCTAATTTATGAGTTTGAATTGAAAAAGTTCTAATTTTCATTGAACATAAATTTACACACAGCAAAGTATTACTATTAAACACGGTGTGACAGGGACAAGTGACTCTACCGTTAGAAATGAATTGTACGAACAGTTAGTCAGTCTTATTGATTTAATACTGGATGGAAGGAAATGTCATTTGGAAAGCATTCGTGGCACAGAGAAATTCGAAATTCTTTTAAAACAATACGAGACAGATCGTGCCAATTTAATTCAGCCACTGAGTAAGATATATTTAGTATTATTTTTATTATCAGCTATTTATATCAGTTAATTTTCTTTCTCATTGTTCATGTATAAACGTGTTATAGTAAAGGAAGAGCAGTATGATAACGCTGCAATGCTCGCTGAAAAGTATTGTGACTTCCCATCGCTTGTGCAAATTTGCGAATTGACTAACAATAAAAATCGACTTGATGCATATATAGAGAAGTTTGCAGCGCAAGATTTTGCTGGCTTCTTGTTTTCTTGGTAAGAACATCTATTATCACATCACGAAGTTTTATACGTTTATTTGTATGTATGATCTATCGTTTTTTTTAATAGGTACGTGAAAGATGGACGCCAAGGACAATTAGTGGAAAGATGCAGACGTGGTGGCACTGCAGAATTAACAGAAAAGTTGTCAGAACATCCAACTTTGTCCTGGGTACAATCGGCTCTAACTGATGAATTGCGACTCGCTGCCAATACACTTCATACCTTGGCAGTTCAAGAAGCTGAGTTGGTTACTCGTAAAAAGGTGCGTACTATTAATTATAACAATAATGAAAATAACACAAAACGATAATAATACCGTTATGATGGGTAACGCAAACATTATGTAATTGATTTTATATTTAATTTTTAATCATAGTCGATGCTTTCGTTAGCCAAGTTGGCTTTGCTTGCTTCGGACGAACCGGAAGATAAAGTAGTAGACAGTGCAAAGATGATCGACAATGAATTGGCACTCATAGCTTATCAGGAAGATTTACCAACTCAAGTTCTCACAACGTATGGCTACGATATTGAGAAATTACGAGTACTTGCACCAAGAGAATTAATTATGGTAGATATGTTCTTTTAATAATAATTAAATTATATTTTTATCTATTTGTATAACTTATATATAATGTTTGATTTATAAATAGTTATACACTTCGAGCGAAAACGTCATAGCCAATGAATATGACTTCAAGAAAGCTCTCGATTTACTTGATTACGTGGAACAAGAGGAGGATAAATTGTCTTTGAGATTACTCGTTTGGGCACGCGCGGCTCGACGGAATCAGTGGAACACCGTGGAGAAGAATCCTGAACAACAAGTTCAGGAAACATTATTTTTCAAATTAATGGACCTTGTGTATTTTATGGGTAAGTTATATGTAATAAGATACTGCGAAATAATACTAATTTGTATGTTTGCTATGTAGGCGGCAAAGTAGAGGAATTTCTGCCATCAGTTGATGTACTTCTCAAGGAATCAGAACTGGAAGAACTCGCTGCATCAAGTAACTTCCAATTTCTTATCAAATTAATTTATGAATATGCTTATCGAAACTATTAACGCGGAAAGTACTCTTGTAAGTACAGCCATAGTTTATATTTTTGTACACAATATTAATAAAGTAACGATATATCGTTAAAAACGATATATCGTTAAAAATATGAAATTACCATGGGGTAGAACTATACAGAATTTTATTTTAAAATCATCTACAATGTGTGTCATGTAACGGTTTTTTTATATTATAAATCGGAGAATTAAAGGATTATAGAAATATGATAGTAATAGAGATATTTTTTTAGTTTTTGAATTTTTATTAACGAAATCCATAATTTATATAATTATTAAATATTACATACAACTACTTGTACCAATAATATTATGAATATATTTACAAATATTTTGTTTGCTGAATTTTCATTACTTTGCATCCTTATAATATATCTTATATGATCTGGTGATCTGCATTCTATTTCTGGAGTGCAAAATAAGTAGAATGTAAGTAAAAGAATGAAAACTTATATATATATAATAATAGAATATATACAATAGAACATATATAATAGAAAACTTGTATAAAATATAAGGATTAATATAAAGATATATATATATATATATATATATTTTTTTTTTTTGGTATAATAATTGAACATTACCTGCACATTTTTTATGAGAGGTAGCATTATGTATACGGAGATATATGTAAGGACAGCCTACATCTGTGCATATAAAGTCGTCAACTATATCAATTTCTTGGTGTAAATCAAGATTTTGACATGTCATATGTTCCTGATTGTTGCCTATTTTAAATTGTTTCCACGAACAAGCATTTATTGTTCCATAACCAAAATTATGAACCTGGTAAAAATATTAATTAGTTACATGCAAAATATCTAAACAACTCCAACAGATAATATCATTACATTATCGACAGCTGTGTCTCATAAAATTAGAAGAAAGCTTCACCGTATTTACATCTATTATTTATGGATTTTAGTGTAGGAAGTAGAAACTTATGTAATTTCTTGGAAATACTAACTGTGATTGTTGTTTTCTTTGTGTGAATATGTTGCGAATGCAACATGTATGTGATTGATTTGGAGGGACTTATGTAGTCCTCCATTTCACCTTTAAATATTGAGGAGTTAGTTGCAAATTCTGGTACTGGTCTTAGAATTCGTGGCACTAAAATATGGTGAGTAACAATGTATTATACATATAAATTTATATCGTACGTACAAATGCGATTAGCACTTGTTTGAAAATTTGTGATTGCAGTACTTACCTGTTAATAAAAATTTATCAATGGTTTCAATATAAGGACTAACTATTAGGCGATCATGCTCTGATAATATGAATGGTTGGAAAGAATTAGAATGGTCTTTCGACACGTAATATAAAATCTTTACGTCTGCAATTATACAAAAATCTGGACTATACTATGTATTAAATTACTTCAAATATGTAAGTAGATATTTTGCTAGTAAAATATAGGAAATGTTTGTGAACAGATACATTAAAAAAAAACGTATACGCATTTGTTTTCTTACCAGGATGATGATACTTAATTTCTCGCAATAACTTTAAAATTGTGTGTTGTTCTATTTCAGATATTTGAGTTGATGGAGCTAATATTAGGACCACTTGTCCCAAACTTCCTATTACGTGTTGCTGCCCTTTGGTTTCCCATGTTTTATTCAAATAATTATATACTGCATTCATGGTCACCAAAAGATTTAAATGCGTGGGCCCTGTTAAAACATTCGTTAAAATATAGATTGTATAATTCGATGGACAGTTTAACAAGAAAAAACTTACATGAAATCTTCGTGAAATTAGATACAGCATAATAGGCAAGACTAGGACTATCCGTTACGTTAAGCAACCATTGCCCAGATGTACCGTGTAAAATACCCATTTTTGAGCCATACATCGATACGTCCAAATCATCTATTAATGTGCTGATACGAGAAGAGCGTAAGTGAAACTAGAATTGTCAGATAATTAATCAACTTTAAATGCTTTAACTTACGCGAAAAAATCCATTGTATGTTCTGCAGTCCAAGCACCATCGAATGCGATTAATGTTTCTACTTGTGGACAAGGTTTTCTATCTCTGCAGAGAGATTCTGTCAACAGATAACTGTTTGTATAAACGGAAAACTTATCAACTGCATAATCAACCATTTGTTTAAATACTTCCGGCGATGTGAATTTGATGCTGTTGTAATAGGTCAAGACATCGGATGCAGCGTATGTCTGTTACAAATAATACTCACGGTAATAAAATTCACATTGATCTACTTAAAGCAAACGCATTCATATATTACGTTTGTGTAATATAAAATGGATAAGACCTGTTGATACAAAACTGTCTTCGGTACAGCGTCTGAGAAAGCGTCCTTTCTGTTGCAAACTTTTACGTTTTCGTCATGTATAGTTATACCTTCGTCCGAATAATAAATATCAAGAATCTGACTTAAACGGAGACTATTAAAGTCATTCACCCAACTTTCCATGTGACTCGCAATAATAAGACCTATTAAGTTGGAAAATATATATATTATTTGTAATTTGATCCTTTGGTAGTAAAAGGAACGCGTGTACCATCGATATCGCCAATTATCTCAGCACGAGTGGCATCAAGATAGCTGTTTTTACTACTTTTTAAATAATAATCGTGAGGACGCATAGTATTATTCCAAAACCCAGCAGCTCCAAGTTCCATATTAGCACCTAACACAGGTCCTTGATATATTACCATTTCTCCTAAATCACCTGAAAAGTGATAACTCATTTGATTACCTATAGTTCGTCAAACTTTTGTTCTTCACATTTATATCGTAAAACATTTAACGTAAGAGAATATGTACAAATAGCTCATCATTTAACTAAAATAATTTACCCGCAATTGTAGTTAGCCATACATTATCCAAATTGATATTTAATCCGAGAAAAGAAAGATACGACATTGATTTGGCGTGTATCATCTCGCTTCTCGGCAAAATAAAATCAACTTGTTCTGCATAATCCATGCTATCTGTACTAGGTCTTTCTGAAACAAAATACGTACTTAAATGTGTCCATATATTCATTAATTAATGTTAACTAATTAATTAACTAATTCATTCATTCATTATTTAATATTGCAATTTTTCTGTGCTATTTTATTCTTGATTTACATGAGACATAACATTCTGTTGCAGGAATTTGTGTGTATATTACCAGTAATATTATATATTTGAACTAAGGGGATATTTTGACGCTGAAGTGAAGCTGCGATAGCTCCTATGATGGCACCTGGGGCGATAGTTCCATATGGCGTAAGAATCACTCCGTATTCTTTCGGACAGTTCCAAAGATCGGGAAATATGGATTTAGCTGTGTACATTAGTTTATTTGGCTTTAAATTAACTTCTATATAAATTTATGCGTAAAGTTGCGTGTGTGTATATATATATATGTATTACTTGTTAGCTTTTGTCCTATTTCTTCACATAGTGAATCCGTATTACGTGAACTTTCTTTCATTATCGTATTTGATATAGCAAGATGTAAGGTACATCGTTCTATTGCTGTAAGTGCGTCAAATGGGAAAATATCCGGTTTTCCTGGGTCCAGTGCTTTTACCAATCTATTTCTTATATTTTGCTTTCCAGATAGCCCAAAGGGAAGCACTCCGTCGCGTGGCTCTATATTTTCATAGTGTTCAACGCCATCGAATTTAAATCTGATATATACGAAAATGAGTGATAATGTAATACGCACGAGCTGTAAAATTTGTGCTACATTCATATCGCAATTTCAACTTGTATCGCAAATTTGTTTACCTATGCAATAAGGACGACGACATCGCTCTTATGTCCATCGTGGCGTAAGAATCTTTTTCCGCTTTGCGGATGATGTCTAATAACACCCGCATATTCATAGGAAGATGGAAATTTTGCATGCTATTATTCATATAACATTCTTGGAGTTCCTCTGGTATACCGAAGTGAGATTCTGTTGAACATACTCCTGAGAAAGAAAGGAGCAAAGTGTGAAATATCCGGAAGAAAATATTCCATCAGGTACTTTCACTATCGAGCACATATCTTGTTGTAAATGTCACGAGTTCGTTATCAACGTACCGTAACATATTAGCAAAATTACAAAAATATTCATCTTCACCACTAACAGAGTTTTGCAGCATCACTAATTATAACGCTCATGTTACACTTGATACGGTGTACAGTGTACAATGATTCATATTACGAAGATATAGAGTAAGATAATGTTCTACCTTAACTGATAAGATAACTTTGACTGTGTTCTATCCCCGTAAGTAGTTTTATGTATCAGAAACTATAGATAAAACTTTCTATTGTATTATTTACTAAATTATTGACTAAATTAGAGCATATGTGTACAATTATGTTTATCATTGTAATATTAGAGTTTAAATGCAAAATTTTACTTGTGCCAGCACGTACGTTTGCACGCAAAGTAATGAATGTATGGTTTTATGACAATTAGTAATATTATCCTTATAAAATATTTATAAAATATATAACTAAAATATTTTCTCTAATATAGAACATAATCGCAATAGGTCATCTCTAGATACCAAAGAGGGAGGTGGATTACTCATAACATATCATATCTTATCTTTTGATAGTGATGATGGTGACTGTTACTATGTCTCTGAAAGGTGTGGTGTAGTATCTTGTTACGTGAAACTGAATGAAAACTGAGTCTTCCTTACATAAAGAAAGGCAGAAATGCTGACTACTGGGTGAGTTTTTCATCTTTAAATATGTTGAGAAGAATTTTATATTTATCATAGACAGTATTAATACAGCAAAGGTAGAAGCGGCATTTAAAAAAAGAATTATAATCTATCAATCGTTTTTGTAGTTACGAAATGATTAAATGGTATTTCTGGATTATCTTCATTACTTTTGGTAAGAAAATAATATATTATTCTAAAAGTTTTTATACATATATATAATATATTAATGTATCATTATTAATTAGTTAATATAACGTTATATATTATTTATTTATTTATTTGTCTCTAGAGTTTATAAATATATTTTAGGCATTTTTGCGCAAGATATTTCATATCAAGATGTCGAGTTAGAACTTCAAGAATGTTATGACAATAAATATCTTTACGAAAAGGATAATAGATTACCGCATACCTTGAATACATTGATCGCACTTATTCGTAAAATTGAAAACGCAGATTTGGACGTGGATCTACAGACCTTAATTATTGGAATTTTGCATAGGTAAAAATTTACGCAATATCTGGCGTGATAAAGATGTATTCTCACGTGAAAATTTAAGCGTTTAAATTGCACTGGCATTTTACTAATCGTAGATTTCGCCAAGATGGGATAATAGAAAATCCAAACGTCTCGAGACAACCTGGCGTGTCACCTTATGCACCATACAGGGAGCAAGCTGCAAAATTTGCACGAACACTTCCCTTCATAAAGATTCCAGAACAAAGGATTTCCCAAATTCGTTACGATATACTTACCGACATTGAAAAGGTAAGTTGAATAATTTATACATATTTTGCTATGTAGATAATAAAAATAAGTAACAACTTTAGTTCACAAAGACAATCGTTTGCATTTATATGGAATTTTATCTAATATGTGTTATCATCTTATAGTGTACACTTCATTTTATGTTGTCCGATTCTATCGACATTTTTCAAAGGGATGACGAAAGCTTAGTGTGTAAATTTACGAACAACGCATACAGAAGGACAAGAAGCGCAAGCAACAATCTTCTTACTGAAAAAAAGTTTAATATCCACGATGTAGAAACCTTAACACCTGAGCAAATGTAAGTATAGCGGCATTACTGGATATAGATAGTAATTTACATGTGAACATGATAAATAGAATTGTATGCTGCATTCATATATAACAGTTTTTATCGTATATAGTGACATTATCAGAAATAACAAGGACACAGTCACAGAGGATACCATTGATCCGAATGCGTTATATCCAGAGTTGCCACCGAATCATCCAAAAATCGCTCGAGTTTCACTGCCGCCGTACAGCAATTGTCCTGTGGAGAATGGCGTTATAAAAACAAAGTACGTAAATCTCTCATTGACTTTTTATATTTTCGGTATACTCGTGCGTTTATTTTGTCAAATGATTTTGCCGCATGATCTACAACCCATTGATACCATCTCGACGAATATGTTTCAGTTGGGGCCCTGTCTCTATTGGATCAGTAATTGCTGGTATAGCCGCTGGATTACAACCTGAAACGATACAACTGTCAACTTTGTTTCCGAAGAAGCCGCATCTATCAAACGTAACAGTAAATAATAAGTGGATTGCAACTATATCTGGTAAGAATTTTAACGAGTATTGAATGCATATGCTTGCATACGAGATGCATAAGAGATAAAGTTTCTACATATTATATGAATTTGTAGGAGATTTAGCTGAAGTCGCGTTAATACAAGGTCCCATAAAACAAAATCTGGAACTTGGCGTAAGTGGGAACTGGAATTCATCGTCTGTTCCTCGTTGGTACTTCCTGAAGCGTAACGATTCGTTAGAATTTACAACAGCAGAGATGAGAGGAGATATCGACGGATTAATTCTCGCTAATGAGATTGAAACTTTATATTCGAAAATACCTAAATTAAAACTATCGCAGATTTTGGATATGTATTATAGCGCTCGTGGATTGTTTGATCATTCAATCAGAGCATGTAATCGGAAATCAATGTTTGCGGCAATTTCATCTAACGCATCTAAGACGATGTCTGATCAGGTATTATGTAATACAATGTGTGTCATCTGTGAAACTAATTAAATCTTGCCGATAATAATAATAACGTCAGAGGTATAAAAAAATTATAAAACTTCTTCAAGCCTATGCTGTACTTATAACTAGATATCATGGATTGAAATATTTAATTTTGCAGGCATATAGTGCTTCCTTGATCTTACAAGAAGATTTACAAATAGCTACGTTAACCGAAAAAGTGGTTCAAGAATTTGCAAAGGCAGCAGCGGACAAGCTATCTACAAATGGCGGTGAGTATTGGTGTTTATTATATAATTATTACATAATATTATATAATTATTACATATTGGTGTTTATTACATAATTAAATATTCTAACATAATGATATTTATTTAAGCTGATAAAATTTTTAGTTTCTTCGATGAATAATGATCTATCGTGTAGAGACACGGAAGATAAAGAGGATTTGAAAGATACTGTTCAAATCTCTGCTGATCTGACAGTTATTCTCGATACAATGTGGCCTTTCGATTTAATACACCCAATCCTTACGTAAGCATAAAATTTGTATATAAAAAATCAGTTTGCTTGGATGAGCAATAACACTAATATACAAAATATAAAATTATTAGAAAACAAAAGAACTCCAAAGATATAAATAAAAGATAAAAATAAAGAAGAGCTAATAGGAGTTCAGGTACAGTAATTTTAGTGCTATAAAACCTAAGGAAATAGGTGAAAGTTTCCAGTGTTGGGAAATCAAATAATTTATTGTACATTAAAAATATAAAACATCAAACGTTTCGGTCCATCTGTGGATCCTTTTCAGTGTTATATGTAATTTAAAATAATATAGTGTCAAGAATTTAACAAGACCTTAACTTTAAGATTTTTCGCAACTGAGACTGGGAAGAAAGAATAGCAAGACAAAAAATATTGTTTGGCGGATTACTGTCGATAATATCGTTCTTGCCTTGAGGTTTGGCCTCTACACTATGTCCAAGACAATACAACCGCTGTACCCTACTAAGTGCTTCTGCGAATAACTGCATTGTTGAAAGACGTTGAAGGCATGTTTCGATACAAACAGGATTTTCCGTATTTTATATCACGGTTTTCCGTATTTTTGGTCTTGCTATTTTTTCCTCTCAGTTTTGGTTGCGAAAAATCTTAAGGACTTATTAAATTCTTGACACTATATATTGTTTTAAATTATATGTAACACCGAAGAGGGTCCACGGATGGATCGAAACGTTTGATGTTTTATATTTTTAATGTGCAATAAATTACTTGATTTCCCAACATAGAGAATTTTGACCTATTTCCTTAGTTTTTATAACACTAAAATTACTGTGCCTGAACTTCTATTAGCCCTTCTTTATTTTTAATTTTTTATCAGAATATAAAAATTATTTTTGCTTTATTAGAAATTTACTGGAAAATATGAAAATAAATCCGTACGACAGCCAATTTACTATCATGAACGCCTATGATGGTAGTATTATGATAAATACTACCAATACTATCTTAGATTTTGGTAATTATACGCAATATGAAAATGGTATGTACATTTTAAATGTGGACAAAATTATATATCAAATATTTATATTGCGGTGATAATAATTGTGGTCATATCATTTTTCAGTTACCAATGGTTTTGACTTTGCTAAATCGCTCGATAAACTGGAATCTATCCAGACGATAAAATTAAATAATGAGCGTAACGGTTTTGGAAATGGAAAATCCGACATAATTTTAATTATTCCATATACATCGTCCGTTCCTGATGCCGACAAGGAGTATTGTATACAACGGATAAAAAGGATGCAAGAGCAAGTTCCAGGTAATGCTTCAATTATGTTCATTATAGAAAATGCAAGTTATCATGCATTATTGCAGATTGTAAACGAAGTATACAATAATTTCAAGTTATTGCAAATTTGAAGTATTACAATCAAGTTTCATGATTATAATGTTACTGCAGATGCTACAATACTTATATTGACTTACGGCTCAAGAGACAGATGGTTAGACTATGTAGCTGACGCAACGAACGACTTGTTTTTTACCAACATAGGCGAGAAGCAAGACGGAGCTTTACCGACAGTTCTTAGTTTAATTTCAAGAGTAAGAAAAGGTAGGTATGAAATAATTTGTATCCTCGTATATATTATATTCCTTTGTGTGTTCTACTATATGTTTAATATAATTTACTATATTATTGCAGTCCCTCAACGTTTGATCAATACGAAATGTGGAGCCGATTATTCTTACGTCGGATCTACCAATTCATTTAACGATTATATTGAGCCAAACACGGTCATTTCTTACAAAATGCACCCCAATTATTTCTACTCCAGCGATTCGTCACATTCTTCGATGATAAAAGTAAAAATCTTTTCGTATAATTAAAAAAGTTTCTCTTATGAAAATACACTATAAATAAGTATTTCAGATTGAGCCATCTGTTTGGGGTATACTAAAAGTATGCACATCACGACAACCTATAAACGCTGATTCCCCGGAAGGTGACAATGTAGATTGTAAACCAATATTTGACAAGATATATACCGTTTTTTTTTCCTGTAATGAAGCTGAATATATTCACTCTTGCCAACCGTTTTACTTATCGATATTTGCCAATTCTTCAGTTGATACTTATCCTTGCACAGGTAAGCTGTGATTAATGTAAATCCATTGTTTACAGCCAACATTTCTAACATCAAATATTTTAAATTCATATATTCATATTTTTATATTAAATGAATACTGATTAATTGCGTAATTCTATTTCTTTCTATGTTTCCTAATATATCGTTTGTATTGTTTTCTAGATCTTCAGTTTTGCCGATTTCCTCATATGATAAAGTACTCCATTTCCTATGAGAACTTGCTATGCACGAGCAGTGCAAATATAAATTTGCTGAATATCATCCTTCTAATTATAAGTATAATTTATGTGTTTTCATAATATATAATACGAGAATATTATGTAAATTATCTTGACAACCGTACGTGAAGTCATCGACATATTACAACATAAATATGTTAAATATGTTAAATTCGTAGCCAGTTGTACATATCGTATGTTTAATGCTACGTTTTTACACTAGAAATAACATAGTATCATATTTTGTAGACATTTAATTACTTTTATATACAATGTTAGAACTATTAAAATAAGAAAGTATTATGTAAACTCGCTTACATAAATAAATCAACATTTAATATTAGTATATAATATTATATACATATACGGTGTTGTATTCTTTTTTAAATAAAAGGTTTGCATAGAGCCACTGTATGATCTATCCCACAGACAACTTTTTTCACTTGAGCTCCTACTGAAACCTGTTAATAGAAAGCAATAATCATACATAAATCTCTCATATATTGTCTATTTATATTCTATTTTTAGGATATATAAAATACACATAACAATTACCCTTAAAGGGAAAAATTGAGTTTTTGTATGTCCTAATCCCAAACATCCAAATTTATTGATGCCCCACATAAATAAATCTCCTGAGCTAGTCAATGCGGCTAATTGATTAACTCCACAACTTATTTTTGTTACCTACACGTAAAAAATATGTTTACATATACATGTGTATGTAGAAAGCAGATTTTCAGATTTTTTAAAATCAAATTTGACTTATTTTAATTACCTTGACGTCACGATTATATATATTGTTGCCAAACAATGTAGGTGGGATTTGTGTTGGTTTAGGTATTTTCTGTACCTCAGGTCCAAAACCCAGTATACCATATCCCCATACATAAACATAGCCAGCATCTATAATATAGCCATATAGTAGATTTTAGATTCATTTTATAATATAAATTATGAAATAGATTAGCAAATGTCTAAAAAAAACTTTAATATGAGGTCTCTACTTATACGCTTATTTCAAACAGGAGATGTCAGTAACAATAATTAAAATAAAAAATTATAAGGTTACTCAATATCATAAATTATATATTAATTCTTACCGTTTAAAACCATGCAGAAACATCCACCAGCTGCAATATCTATAATACGTCCAAAGTCTTTGAACATATCTAATTCTATGGGAATATTTATTTGGTAATTATCTTCAACTAGTAATTGTCCATACTCTGAGTTACCCCAGCCAAAAACTTTTCCTTTATCTAAAGCAAATATTTCTCATTTTAATTTTAATTATCCACTGTAGGTGTGTAATTCTCTAATCCATTGGATATTTTTTACATACCACTAAGAGCTAATACACAGTCAGCAACACAAGCAACTTTTATTATGTGTTGTCCTGCCAGATCACCTTTAACTAAACTTGGTTGATATTCATTTTGATAATGTGCTAGGCCTGTTTGTCCATCAGCACCCCATCCAAATGTATATACCTCACCTGTCTCTGTCAAGAGTATGCTGTTATATTAATGAGAATATTAATGAGTATGCTGTTATATTAATGATATTAATGAGAAAACTGTTAACATTATGATATCAAAATTATTATACCTGTGATCTTGACCAGCTGTCACTGCAGTAATCTTGTGTCCTTTAATGTCAGGTATGTGATGGATAACAGAACTTCTCTCATAATTTTCATTCATTATAATTAGTCTACCACATTGGCCATATGCATTATTACCAAGAGTGAACAAACCTTCTGTGGTCAGTATTAACAAGTGTGCTCTTCCTGCAGCCATGCTTAAAACTTTTGTCTTGTCATCTTTAAGCAGTAGATTTATTGGCCTTGGAAGAAATATCACATTGTCAGGCAATTTTTCATCCTGTTTACAGAAACCTATCATAGAAAAACAAACTGTGCTTATGAAATATTTTTATTTTAGTGAAAAAAGAATAGCAAACAATTTACTTACCAAGTTGTGAATCTGTGTTTATGCCAGTACCATAAACAATATTTTTGTCTGAAGATTGTACAGCATAAGCTGTGAAACCATATCCACAAGCAATATCCACTACATCATGTATTTCAGCAAAGTGTAATCTTTTTGGCCTGCTGATCTGTGAAACGTTCTTCCACTTCAACACTGTATTATCTCCAAGAGCACCATGGTGAGCAAGACCCCATGCATACACTCTATGTTCATCCTGTTTGCTTATTGAATATTGGAAAACTACATAGATTTAACATAAATAAAATGTCAGTTGCTTACTGCTACAATATATATGTAACTTTACATAAATATTTCCTTACTTGGTAAAGTTTTAAGCTTGAACCGCTTAGCCTTCGGCTTTCGCAAAGATAAACTTTTGGCGCTCCTTGTTATTTGTTTGAAACAATTCCATCCTGTGTTAAACATTATTTCCGTTTCAATTTCTTACGATTAAAATCATACACGTGATATTTAGAGATAGAAATTAGAATCATATATTAAAAAGAAAAAATAGAAAAGAAAAAATTAACAATTTATGTCTTTCTGTACTCTCAAATCAACTTAGGTCGATATCAATTTGGTAATATCAAATTTAAGCACGTCGCCATATTTCTAAATTAGACCATAGACGAGAAGTTTATAGACGACATAACGAGATACTCAAATCGCACCCGCTGTTTAAGCAATTGAGCCGCAACTCGCAGTGACAAATAAAATGGGCTGTAAGTTTTATTTGGCAATGTTAATGCGATCACCGAAGTGAAACTTCACCTCAAATACTGCAAAAATGCAAATCTTGCAGTCAATTTATTACATAGGCTGATATTTCACGTGTCGTACGACAAGCTTTTTGGATACGTTCATTGGTTGACGAACAGAGAACCTAGAAATACTCTATTCGCCAACCAATAAACGTATCCGAAAAGCTTGTCGTAGGACACGTGAAATAGCACCCTTATACAGGGTGTCTCACACTCTCCTCCGGGCATTTTGTGGGGACATAGAACAGGTTGAGGTGAACATAAAAGTCCTATGCCGTTTTGCGATATTCGCAATAATAATCGAGATATTAATTGTAGAAAATTTGTGAATGATCATGCAGGATATGGTAAATGAGTTATAATAGCGACGACTGCCATAGTGTACTTATACTTTAGGTCAAATTGAACAAAAAAGTCCTTTACCATTTTGCAAATAATCACATAGATTTTTAATTATTAATTAAAGAAGATGAGTGTATTATCACGTAAAATCGTGCAAGTGCTTATAAGTTTTATGATTGACTAGTAGAGACTTATGACGTCATTAATCGCTCTCAGAGCGATTAACCCAGAGCCAGTCGAACATGCTATTAAATATAAGGGCGCGTTTAGCAGACACAACAGTTGTACAACTGAGTGATTCGTAAACGTAATTGGTCTAAATGTAGGGAATCAACAGAATAAACCAATAAACATCGAGTACTCACTGAGCGTTTTTATCTGCTGAATGTGCCCTAAGATCGGACTATGAATACCGGCTTTATGCGCCAATAAGAACAGCGCTTGTGTGGACCGCCGCGGATCATGCGGCGGTCGCTCTAGAAACAATCCGTGGCGATTGAGCGAATGAGTCGGCAGCCATTTTTAAACTGCTCACTATATATACAGAGCATAAGGATATGGATAATGGGCCTCGCGTCTCTACATAGTAATGTAAACGAATGACATTAAACGAGGCGTGATTATCCCGAACGAAGGAAGAATCAGACATAACGACGTAGCAAGGCGCGTGAGCAGAGCAGGACAACGCGTCAAGAGAGAAAGATAAAGAGAGAAAGAGATACAGACATAAAAAGAGAGCGAGAGAGAGAGATCGAGGCTAGTTTCGTGCGCGAACGGACGGTGCTCGAGCGAACGCACTCCTTCCCCGTGAAATTAATGTAATGGTGAACTGTCAACACATCTCCAACAGAGCTCTCTCCGGAATATGCCTTTGAGCCGTATCAATTCCGCGTTCTCGGCACAAGTGAAAGCGCGTTCGGTCGATCACCATCAACGGCGGCGGCGGCAGTATTGAGAGAACGTGGGAGCGGAGAGGCAAAAGCAAGGGGAGGGCGATCAGCGCGTGGGATCGCACGCGCGCGCGAACGGTAGAACGCGAGAGAGAGCACAAAGAGAGTGCGACGACGAGCAGCCCGACAACGTGTTCAACAGCAGCAGCAGCAACGGCGACAGCAACGACAACTGCGGCAGCAACAGCGGGAGCAACGATGTCGGTTTTAACATGCGAGAGGACGGCTGCCACGATCGTGTCTCTCAGATGTTAAGTTCCTATAATAATGGCAGATAATGTGCACAGAAAGTCGCACAAGCTGTCGGATGGTGGTAGGAAGATCTCGAACCCCGTGCATCGTACGACCACGGAGACGATCCGCCTGGGCGAGGTAGACAAGTTGCACCAGCCGGTTAGCCTGATCGCGCCGAGCAACGTGACAGCCGGCGGCGGTGGTGGCAGCGGCCAGTGCAATCGGAAGAAGACCTCGTCGTTTCAGATCACCAGCGTCACCGTTGGCTGCCGCATGAGCAATGACGCCGGCGAGGACTCGAACGATGATCTGGACGAGTCGCACACGGAGGACAATTCCGTGGAGCACTCGCGCATCACCGACCTCGACATCGAGACGCCGAGTTACTCCGAGGACACGTTCTCCAAGGAGGACGTATTCTTCAACACGAGCAACGCCGCGCTCAGCACCGCGCCGGTGATCCCCACCAGTTCGCAGTACGGCCTGGCGATCGTGCCGTCCGAGCACGGCGGCAACGTCAGTTGCAATTCCGTCAACGACAGCAACATCGGCACCCTGGACATCACCTCCGTCACCGACAACAACATCATCAACTTGCTGTCTGGCAATGTGAAGCAGGACGCGGATCTACGCGAGGTGCATTCCCACGGCAGGAACGAGCGCTTCAAGGTCGTGAAGATCGAGAGCACGGAACCGTTCAAGCGGGGCCGGTGGACCTGCATGGACTACCTGGACCACACGTCCGTGAATCAGCCAACGGCGATCGGTACGCCGAAGGTGTCCGATCCGAACGAGGTGTGCATATCTTACGGGGTGACCGACAGCGGGATCGTCGTGCCGGAGGCCGCGAGCAAGCAGCCCGTGGTAGTGTCCGACGACAGCAAGACCATCAGTATCGACAGCAATGGACAAGTGACCGCCTCTCACCCGGACACAGTGCACACGTCCATCAGCGTGGCGAGCAACGCCGCGTCGGTGGCGAACGCCAGCTACGCGGTCAGTAACTCGATGCCCCCGAATGTACAGCACAATCCCGCGCAGGTTCCGCCTGGTCAGCAAGCCAAGGTGCAACCAACCGCGCAGATCCCGCAGTACTTTCAGTCGCAGACGCAGCCGATCGCAGCTCAGCAGCAGCAGCAACAGCCGCCGCAACAGCAGCCACAGCCGCCTCAGGGGCCTCCCCAGGGTTCTACGCTGCCCGCCAGCCTGCAGCCTAGCCATCCCAACAGCCTGGGCCAGCCGCAGAGCATGCCTCAGGGCTCGATCCCGATCATCGCGCAGACCAGCGGCAGCAACGTCACGCAGCAACAGCAGGGGATCGCGCACGCCAAGGAGGAGACGTACGTGACGGTGGCGGCCGCGCAGAGTCAGTCCATGCCGGTGCAGAACGTCTGCCAGGCGACGGTGCAGCCGAGCGGTCAGCCGCCGAGCTCCCAAGCGCCGAATATTCTCGTCACGCAACATCAGACTGACGCCGCCTGCCAGCAACAGCAACAGCAGCAGCAGCCACAGAAGCAGATCAGCCAAATCTCCGAGCCACTAACTGCCATACCAGGGATCCAGGGCATGCAGAGTATTCATAAGGTGCCTCCTCCTCAGGCAGCGCCGCAGCAGACCTCGTCGACGATCCATGCCGGCGGCGCGGGGCCGCAGGTACAGTCGCAACAGGTGATGCCCGCCTCGACGCAAATGCAGACGTCCAGCAGCACCGCGCCGGTGCAGATCACACAGGTGCAGGCTGCCGCGGGCTGCCAGAACGTTGTTGCTGGCGGCGGCCTGCAGCAGCCCGGCATCGCGTTCCACCAGTCCGACCCGGAGCAAGAGTCCATCGCGGCTATCGTCGCCAACGCCACCGCGGCTCAGTCCGCCGACGCGACTCTGTTGGAATCGTTGGCTGAAGTGACGCAAGGCAGCGACGAGCATCGTGCCCTCGAAGATAACGAAAGGTACCGATTACACATCCATTCATTCAAGCTATTTAGAAACGTGTCGCGACAATAAAGAGGATAGAGGCGAGCGTTGTAGCTCGAGGGGTACTCGCGTATTATTGATGATGATTATGATGGTGATGATGATGACGGTGATTATGATGATGATGTTAGTGATAACACTGATGATGATGATTATGATGACGATATCTACGGTATCTTTCCAAATTTTTCGTACCTTTTGCTGTAATTCTGCTCTTGTTTATTCCTTTGTTGTATATGGATAAATTTGATGAGTGAGTCTGTATTGCAGTATGTCTGGGACAAGCGCTGTAGCGATTGATAACAAGATCGAGCAGGCTATGGTGAGATGCTACTTTAATAAAGCCAGTTTAATCGCGCGTTACTTCGATGCATGGCAATGCTAGAATAAACTGTAATCTTTTCTAGGATCTGGTTAAAAGTCATTTAATGTTTGCGGTACGAGAAGAAGTCGAGGTACTGAAAGAAAAAATAGCAGAACTAATGGATCGTATCAATCAATTGGAAGCAGAAAATTCAATATTAAAAGCACACGCAACTCCAGAAACTCTGGCTCAATTGAGTCAATCGACAGCAAAATTACCCCAAAACAGTTCAGGAAGTGGTCAATAGGTATCCATTGTACATAAGTTTCTATCGATACTTTGTCAAGCAAATAATGGATAATATAATTATTGTATATAACTTTACGATTTTTAGAAATTTATAAAAATAATGAGATTTATTATATATAAATATATATTAGTATTAGACACTTTTTTTTAAGTAAATTAAAGATAATGAGTTATTTTTTACTATTTCAGTTTACTTTTTAGGAAATATATTTAAAGCTGTAAATTTGAAGTTTCTTTCAAAATGGTAAAATATCATTTTGGACATGTATATTGTTACAATTCTAGACAGAAACTGAGACATATAACTGAGTGCATGCCAAGACTAAGCAGTGTTAGTGACAGAGTTGGCATTATTTTACATTAGAAACACGATTCCCAACATGTTAAAAAGAAGTAACAGTACGGCGGAATAGGCAGCTTAACATTCCTAGATTACTTTTTCCTGTTGTTTTAATGTTTAGCTAATTTAACTTACAAATCTGATCGAATATAGCGTAATTGGCAAGTCGAACGAAGGTAAATATTTATAACAATTTTCGCAGTATTGCTTATAACATACGACGTTTTAATTTCAGTTCATTTTCCAGACCTTCTGTTGATCAAAATAGATATTGGTGGTAAATTTTGCTAACGTTTGTCACTTTTGAATATCAAATCTCATATTTTATAATCTGATATTCGTGTTATAGCCTGGTTTTTAAAGTTATATATAAATATATATATATACATATATATTGTAATCATCAAGCCGATATCCAAGAAACTTACTATTGGTGTGCATCAAAAAACCTGCAATTTCCTGTCAACATCTTATGTTACATTTTAAAAATGCCTAATAAACAAGATTTTTAATTGTATCGTAATTGTCAAAATTCTTAGTGTGAGGTTGCAATATTTTTTTATGAGGAAACATATATATATGTATAAATTATATGAAGGTATAATGAGAGATGTGAAAAGTTCGTTATAACGTATCATTAAATTATCATTTGGGTGGACGTGTGTAGAATGCGAGATACTATCTGGTAAGTAAAAGCATACGACACGCTGTATGGTTTTAGAGAAAATTTTATTCAGTTACTATAAAGACTAAGTATGACACTTTAACATAAAGCCTTACTAAGATCAAGATCGCTTTTTGGAACAATAAAATTCATAATTTATAATTATACCTTATAAATTTATAAATGTTATAAATTTTCTCCTAAAGGAAGGAAAAAAAATAACAGCGTTTAACCTTTGTCTTATATAATTATCGATAATGTGACTTTTTTGGAACTGTTACTCACAAACAGTCACAAAACGAATTCATACAAATCCGAAGTTCTTTGTTTTGATAGCGAGAAGTAGTTTATGTCGTAAAACGTGACGAGAGCTGTACAATGGAACGTATAGTCGAGAGATACATGTGTTCGCGGTTGGTAGGTGCACGTCGTCGGCTGGCCGAATAGTTACGCTAGGCATCGGCTGAAAACCATCTTCGCTCGCCGGTAACGCTGGGGACCCAGTCCAAAAATACACCTGCAGTGTGCATTAATCCGATTTAAGTGCGACACGTTCGAGCGACGATCGCGTCGTCAATTCGTGACAGTTTCAAGCTACAAGTATTAGGATTGTTTAGGATTTGAAGATTTCTTACCAAGTCTTGCCTTTCCACATGGGACATTTTCTCAACGATCGACCACAACCACCTTTTGAATTTAACTAATCTCTCCGTCGATTCTCCCGATTCATCGTTAAATGACGTATACGATATTAGAACCGACACGTTGATGTCACCGACTCCGTTTAAGAGCAATCGTAAGTCCTCGGATGTCAATCCATCGAGTGCACCATCGGGAAGTACATCAAAGACTCCTTCGCGCATGGCGTGCAAGGCTTTCTCCTGCACCTTGATCATACGAACTTCAGCGTATTTCCGTACATAATCGTATACATTGTTCGCGGTTACTTCCACATCACGTCCACTAGGTATGAGTTCGATTGAGCCACCTCCTTCTTCGGGACACAAATCAATACTGAAATGCAAAATGATTCGCTCGGTTGATGGTCCGAGTCTGTCATGTACATGTGGATTATATGTTAAAAAAACTCAAAGGAAACAAAGAGAGAAAGATCGAAACCTGAATGTAAGATCCAACGCAGAGAATAAACTGTTGCTGTCTTTCGTTTCAGCATCGATGACCAATTGTCTCAGGCTTTCGTAAATAACCGAGTCGAAAAATGCAAGATCGTGGAAACGTATAGGCCTTCCTAAGATATATTTAATTACATGGCGATTCAAAAATAACGGGCACAGCTCATTTTGTAAAAGACACAATCCTATGAGTCTGAAAAGTAACAAAAACGTTTCGTGAGATCACACAGACACGACGAGATCTAAGAACCGAGATAGAGTCGGACATTTCAGACTCACCTGCCTACATTCCTGAAGGCATTTAACCGCTCGTAACTGCCTCTGCCTTGTCTTGGTGTATAAAAGCCACGTTTCCCGGGAGAATAGAAAAGTGGTGCGTTATCCTCTGTATCATCTAAAATGCTGTTCTCCATTTTCTTCTTCGCCGCGCACCTTTCGGTTAAGCTAAATACATCGAGGTCCAGCAACGCTTCACTGGTCAAATCCTGGTTGTGACTGTGAATCAACTCGAATGCTTCTTCCACTTTTTGTCGGAGAGCGTCCTCCGAAGCCAACAACATCAGCAATTGAGCCGGTGACAATTCCAGTAACATGCCGGTTATTTTCTCAGCCACTGCTGGGCGTAAGGCGTGCACCTATATCGAGCAAACAATCATATTTGCATAAAACGGAAGATATTCTATAAAAGGAATTCAAGATAACATTTTCTCGATCTTAAATATTTTATACAGGCGTTTGTGTGTGGTATAAAACCTTAGGGTACAGTCTGTCCCCAAGCTGTTGTTGATGCACGGACAAATGGTCGTTGTTAGCATGGTTGATCGTCGGCATGGGATGAGCATTGGACGATGAACTGCCGGATCCCGAGCCGTTATTCCCTTCGATCGCACTCGATGGGTGGAAGGAACGAGCGTCGAAGGACAAGGCTCGACGCGACTCGCGACATTTCCCAGAGGAACGGGTGTTCTATAATAAAAATCGCAGCGATATGTCAGAGCAATGAAACACGTGTCGTCGATTTAACATCACGGTACATTTCACACACCTGTCGCCTGAGATCACGATCGCGATCCCTATTTTTGAGCTTTTGCATCACGTTGAATTGCGTGTATTTATTTCCCACTTGTGCTGCCTCGAGATTCGGAAGCTTCTCGTTCGCGAGCAACGCCTGAAAGTGATAATAATTGACGTAAATATTGTACAGCGGCGACTATTGACTTTTATACTTGGCGCTTACAAACCTCGGCAATCGCGGTGTAAAAGCTTCGTGTTACACCGGATCCTTCGCCGGGTTCATCCTTAAAGGTGACCTTAACTCGATTTACCGCCAAAGGCGGAGTGTTCGTAGCTCTTCTGTTGTATATGTTATATTGTGTATTCAATTCTTTCATTGTCTGCACCAACAGCTGCGTTCTATCTCGCTCCACCTGTTGAGGAAATAAATATAATAAATAATTATTTACATTCACAATCTCACAATGTTCGATGTACTGTCATACCTTAGATAAGGTGATATCCTTTTGCTGTGAGTTTCTAAGTTTTTCCATGTCTCTACGAAATTTGGCTTCTTTCACAGGAAATCCCCCTAATTCGGACACTACGGATCCGGCCTCTAAGCCTACGTCCTCCATGAAAACGCGTCCAAACAAGTCCAACGACAATCGCCATCGTCCTAATAAAATGTTATGTGAAATGTTATTCCCGATCGATGATACCGCTCTGGCAGATTCTACTGGACTTGTCTCTACAGTTTCATGAGCGGATATCTCGTGACTCGTCGCAGCTACTTCCTCGGACACGTTTTGAGTTTCAACAGTCGGGACTACGAGTATCTCAGGCGCGCCAGCTTTATTGGTGCTAGATTCCTACGGAGAAAGAATCACGAAACCGTAGAAATCAGATGTTTATGGGTGTACACACGTACAAGGCAATCGTGATGCTTACCGGTGCAGCTCCAGCTCTAACTATGACGCTTCTGCTTGTTTTGCATATATCTTTGCCTTTAGTGTTCGCTGTATCACCTTGATTATTCGTGGACACTATGATCGGCGCTCTATCAATTTGTTCTGCCACGAGGGACGAGTGACCTTCATTAGCATGACTACAAGATTTTAATTTGTCCTGAAACGATATATACGATAAGTCTAATTCCTTAAAAATGTCACTCGACGAATATCGCACAATAATTCATAGTAAGTACAGGAATATATAAATTTACTTTGATATAATGGAGAAAAAATATTACCACATATTTGACGGAGTTCGAATCACCAGCCGAGACGGAGTTCCTTCTCGATTCTAAAGAGTTGGAAAGTGGTCCTTGTACAATTTGACTAAATGTTGGAGCAGCTAAGACGTTCTGACTGTCAGCGCTACGCGCGGAAAGACCTAATCTTGTGGGTAAACCTTCTAAAGGGTGTTGATTAGATCCACCTGTATGAGAACAAGGCGGTTGTCTCGGTATACCAAAGAGATCTTCGCGTCTCGAGTGAGGTTGTAATAAATGTGGCTGATCAGCTAATGGCAATGCTTCGCTCATGACAGTGTCGAATGGATCTAGAGGCGGGCAACCAAGGCACAAGGTAGAATCTGATCTTTGCAGGAAAGGATGCTTTCTCCCCTTTGGCGTGGTATTGCCATGATTTCCAGACCCGCACATGGGTACTTGTAGTAAATCCGGATAATCCACAGAATCTGTTTCCATGGCAGTCGGTGCTGGCGAATTATATTCCTCACCTTCGTCATTATCATTTTCATCCTGAAGCGAGGATGCGTTTACGTGATACGTTGCATTTGCAAAAAACCAGTCATGTACGTAGGGTAGAGAAGCTTCACCGACCTGATCATTCCAACCCGAATAGTTGGACGATTCTTTTTGAGCTTCTCCTCTGGAGGTAAGCGGCTCTGAGAGAGAACGCATGTAATATACAAGCGCATCGAATACGTATGCGACATGTCTCAAAGCAGAGACATCTAGGACTGGTAAACTGTCCCTATGTTCACTGTTGTGGGCACGCATTAAAGACAGACAATATGATAAAAATTCACGTCTTGCCGAGTGTGCATCACCACCTGAAACACGTTGCAATGTTAATCTTCGTCATTGATTGAAGCTGCGCGTGAAACTTGCATAGATCTTATCGGGCAATATAATCATAAAAATAGCATATCTTGAAAGACAGAATAAAGTGTATAACCAGTATTAAAATATAGTTAAAATTAAAAGAAAAACTTTCTAATATTCGCGGTACCCATAAGTAATCAAGTATTATATTTCGTTTTGAAATACTTGGTCATACTTATAAGTACCCCTAATAAAATAAATCACAACGCGAACCTTCACGTTCCCTACTGCTTCTTGGAGGCTCGCCAACGCCTGCAAAACCAACGGTGAGTCGTGTTGAAGCTTGAGGAGTGGAGATATTCGAGCTCGTAGCGATACCACTGCGAGGATTCCGACCTGTGTTTCCCTGGAGAGTCAATGAGAGCGCGGCTGTATTCAACAGACCAGTAAAGTTACCACCCGACAGAGATGGAGCGTTATTCAGAGGGTGTTCTGGATGAGTCGGGTCCGCACTGCGTGTCAGAGATACCCCAAATCGCAACTGCGCCTCTGTAGCGTCCATCACCGTGAGCAACCAATCCCAAGTGGGTTTCAGATGCGCTTCTAAGTACGTCTGTACAATAGAAATAATTGTTACTTTCCGGCTGTGTGTATATGCATAAATACGACGTCGACAATATTAATGGCGGAATAATTTGCACACCTGTAAGCTTAGAGCGTCTTGGAAAGAGATCTCCATCAATCGCGGCAAAGTAGGTGCTAGATTTTTATAATCTTGCATCATAACCAAAAGATCGGCGATTTGTCGGATAACAATACCAAATGCTCGCGCCAGGCAACTAGCAGTGGTCCCCATAGTTATAGGTTCTTGCGCCGTTGCGACGGCCGATGTAGTCGTGGTTCGTCTTAAAGATGTAGGATCGATAAAAACCAGGTTACTTCCACCTGACACCCGTAATCCTGCTGTACGCGTACTCAATTCACGATTGCGTATTGCCCATTGCATAGATACAGGCGCAAGATTATTTCGATGCAAATGACCGGAAGATCCACTGAAACAACACGTATCGCATTTTGAACATCTCAAATATTCTCCCGTTATGATTGTTCACGTGAATCGCGCGTCTATTAATGATGAAAGTAAAGAGACCAAAATATACGACTCGGTTTGTATACGTTTGAAGAAGATTTGAAATAGTTTACCTTCTGCGCTCTAATTGCTCGTCACTGATCTGAAACTCCTCGTTATCCTGCTCATCGGTTTCTCCTGCCTCACTCTCGTCATCTTCTTGTTGACTTGATTCTCCTGACTCATCTTCGGGGAACAATAATATCGATCCCATTCCACCGTCAGAGCCAGCAGTCGCGCCAGTTTGTACGCTACGTTGCGCCGACGCTGCATCTTGGTTGCTATGATTGTCATCCGAATCTGACTCGGTCTCGGCTTCTGCTAAAAGATCCAATTCTGTGTCTGATTCGCCATCCCCAGCCTGTTCCTCGCCCACACCACCGACATTCGAGTCAACTTCGCCAAGTGGTTGATTGGCAACGTTTCCAGAGACACCCGATTCCTCGTGTTCACTTATATCGCCGTCCATATCCATTGGTACTTCTGTGCGTAATTAATAGGATTTTTATGTGATCGAAAACTCACGATGTCATGCGCTATATCATGTGCTAAAAGAGATTTCTTACATACCTTCTCCACCTTCTGTTTCGTCTACAGTAGAAACATCTCTTGCGATCGTTATATTATTATTTCCCTGTTGTGTTTGCAACGCTGCATTCAATGTCTGTGAACTGATACCACTATGAGGTATTAGAGGTTCTATAGAAAATAATTCTTCTGAACCATTGATTACTTCGATAGCAGAACTTGTTAAGGTGAACGGTGCGGTTGGACGCGCTACGCCTAATCTGACTGGTGCTATCAGTGAATCCGCTGTTTCACATAACTCTTCTACGGCTAGTTTGATCAGTGCTTGGAAAACTTTTCGACACTTCATTAGAGGTTGTGAAGCTTGACTAGCACTGAAAAAAAAAGAGGAAACATTTTTTTCGATATTACAAAATGTAATTGGATAATTAGTAATTGTGCATATTGATACATTAAATTGGTTATGGAGTTTTGATTTCTTAAAAGATTTAATGTTTACACACACATATATATACACGCAACTGGTCTCTGAGTTAAAATATAAATATTAAAAAATATATGAAAAACGCCCACCTTCGTCTCTTTGTCGTGTTTGGTGCCATTTCTATGGTGAAGATAACAAATATACGTGCCACGGATCTCACAAATCGACGAGCCACATTATTTGCTTCCTCCTGTCGTCCAGGCACAGATTCGTCTTGCAATTCTCTGATTAGAGTGGAAAGCAATGTGTCAAGCATCTGTTAATAATATAAAATTTATTAGCTGGTTTGATATAACCTGTATATGCGTGTTGCATAGTTCGGCTGTTCTACTTACTTCAGCACTACATTTAACAAGTAAGGAATGCGTGAATTTGTCTAGTAATGCAGTACCACTCTGGCGACACAATTGGCCTTGGTCACCGAACAACTGATCGGTACCGTTCTCAGAAACGCCCGACATGATCATACACTGTACAGCTGGCCAATCATTCAGCAATCTCTCCAAAGCCTTTCGACTAAATCGAGGGGGCTCCAGATCATGATCTGGCATGTCTGAATCTGCACCTAAACCTACAGAATAATTTTATATAAAACACATACAGTAAATAAAAAAAGTATTATACATATATGCTATCTTTTTTGAAACAATCTTACACGAAAAGAAAATCTGTTGTCACAATGTATTTCACATCTTAATACAAATAAAATAATTTTAATATATATATTTTTTGCAGTATTTTTCATGAAAAATTTATTTAAAAAAAAAATTAGATGTGTAAATACTATTTTTATTCACACTTGAGAAAACACAACTTGTAGTCTTTATATTATGAAAATATTGGTATAAAAATTGGTATACGTGCGCGTACAGTCAAGCATTACTGGAGAGAGCATACCGTCCGAAGTCGGTGCTTTACGGCCGGCAGAAGTCGATCGTTGTCTAGGTGCTGATCTAAATTGGCGTTGCTCAACCAGTTGTCTTCCAACTGTTTGCACTAAGAATAATAAGATACTTTCACCCCTAAATAAAATAAGACATAACATTAGCTGAGGAAGAATCGTATATGACATGTTTATTGTGAGCCATTTGTAAAGTTTACCGTGAATTAATCTTAGTAGCAAGATCAGTGTTGTTCACAAGACGGCACAGAAGATCGTATCTCGCAGTTTGATGCCCGGCAATAAGAGCGCGACATTTACATTTCTCCCAACAGTCACAATATGCTGTGGGCGAAGTTCTTTTGAGCTTACAATCGTGGCCTCTGTGGCATACACGAGCACATTCGGTGCAGCAGCACAATGAGCCCGTCAAACCACAAGTTCTACACTCAAATATGTCCTTAAAAAACAGAAGTATCTCGATCAGTAAAAATACGGAACAAGCTTCTCTTTTATGTAAAGTACGCATAAAATACCTGGTTAATGTGTTCGGCTCCGGTCCACGTAAAACTACATGTATCATTGCAACAAGTAACAAATAGCGGAGATAGATCTGGACTGGCGTCGGATGGTAGTATCATGGCCGAAGTATCTTTCGCGTCTCTGCCCACTCTTTGTATGGTATCCAATAAAATAAGGGCCGCATGATATGCGCGAACAGATACGGCGAGCATAAGTGGCGTTTGCCCTTGAGCATCCCTATTTGTGTGAGAAAAAAAAAATAAAAAATATATACGTGAAAGAAATTGTTAATTCCATAAATTTAATGTCGCTTGTACATATATAGACTATTTCTCGCTTCAGAAAAGATATCTAAATTGTGATCATACTTTGCCGTTAGCAATTCCCTCATATGTGGTGCTAAGATAATACTTTCACACATATATTTCAAAATGAGTAATGCGTTGTGTCGCCTCTCCACAGAATCTATGATGTACGTATTACTAGATGCAGCTCCGACACCTTAACAAGGAATATGATACATTAAATCAGATATTGTTACGTACACAAATTTGCCTTACAACTAGCATAGTGCACAAACTAATTTCACTCACCAGATTTGTTCATCATAGATATACTGGCAGCACCAATGCTTAACAAACTGTCTTCCTCTCCTGATGTATTATCAAACGCTTCAGGTGGCCAACTTAACGTTGGGATTGGTTCTTCGATAGGTGCTGAGGCACCATCTACTGTATTCGACACTAATTCACGTTCGATAACTACAGGCAATTGAATGACTAAAGTGAATGAAATAAAATTTTAATCAAATTAATTCATCACAGTATCAAAATGAAGAGTGACTCTATTATTACTATTATTACGCAGTCATGTTATATATAATGATTACTTGAAGATTTTATTAGACTCAGTACAAATATACATTACATACCTTGTTCGGTTTCTTTGTTAGAAGTTGGTGAACACATATTAACGCAAGCATGAAGTATATTCCGGTTGCCATCGCAGCGTTCTTTCAGTATTATTTGAATTTGCGAATATGTCAAGCTACTCTCTGTAAAATGTGTTCAATCTTTCAATATATATATATATGTGTGTGCTTATTTATAAACTTCAGCATACACAATGCAACAAGTGAGAGATTATACGTCTGTGTACTTACTTAAATCTTGCTCCAAATTACAGAACACTTGTTTCACACTTTCGTAATCGCACCGCAATATGCGCGGCAAGAGCACAAGATTGTCAAATGCCAATGCAATAACTGCCACTTGATTTTTTAAATTGTTCGAACAGATGGGAATTGGAATAGTTGCCGCACCGATGCAATTTACGGGAACTAAATCCAACCAATTCGGATCGCGAATGGCGTCGGCGCAATCTTTCGCAATTGGGTAAATAGTATTATTTCCATCTCGTAAGATCATAGAACATTCGATATTCTGAAATATAAAAGTCCATAGAATCTTCTCTTTTCAAGACTCACATGTGTATAAAGTACTTTGTCTACTATTTCACTTATAAATACTTATATATATCCATGCGATGGATGCGACATACCTCTCCTGCACTTGTGAGATTAATGTTTTGAGGTTGCAAACCCAAAAACGACGAGATATCAGACGGAATATAACAATCCTGTACATATCTCCCTGTACTTAAATTGTAGACAACATAACTCAGCTTGTTTCCGCTCTTTAATATAGCGTGAATGCCTGTAAATACATAGTTTTCGTTAATTATGGTGAGAATTTGTTTCTATATTTATTTAAAAATAATTGTTCATGTCCTTACCTTGTCCATCGGTCGATATAGTTAATAAACTATCATTCGAACCTTCCACAATGTTGACTCTTCTAGGTGTTCTTTGGAAACAATCCGGAGCTCTTGGATTCAACGATGATTTAATTACTTGTAGCTCATCTTTACGTAAAAGTCTACAGTCAGCTAATAGCTTCATTGGTTCTTCCGCTGTAAGATCTTTAAAATCTGATGTACTAAAATCCTTTTCTTTGATTTCCTTTTCTTTCTCCTTCGAATCTTTTGAGAAGAATTTGACAGCTACATAGCAACCATCAACTTTGATAACTTTCCCTATTGTAAAATAAAATACATCAATAACATATGAATTGATTTCAAAGAAGATAACAAGTACAAAGCAGAAAGTCATACCGATAGGTACAGTCTTGACGTCTTCGACGAAAACGACATCTTTTAATTGCCAATCTTCCTCGTCCTTTCTCTCAGATTCTCCTTCACTCCGAGGTGCCATACGTTTCTGCCGTTCTAAAATTACACATTGTTCTGTGAGTAATTTCATTATTGATCACATAAAACATTTCGATAGTCAACTTCGCTTTTCTTAGGAACATGTAACTCATATTTTATTAAATCTCATTATTCATCTTATTATTGAATATAACTCATATCTTACTGTGACTAGTTGTAATGCTGCCAGTATCACTACAAGTGCTTGAAGCTGGTGACGGTGGCGGTGGCATATCGAGCCTATCGGCAGTTTCCTTGTGATTTGCCTTGTTCACAACTCCCGTGCTACCATTCCCGTTGGACTCGCGTTTGTCGGTGTTAGTGTTAGGTAACAGAGTGCCAGCAGGTAGTATCTTAAATCTACATGTAGCATCCACGTTCCACGCTGCAGAAAGTAATTGTCCAACTTTTGGTACGCCGTTAGCTATTGTGAATCCTGGAATATAAATTGCGCAATTTGAAATCATCACGTCTAATGCTATATTTCAATCAGTTTGCAAAATAATACATAGTATCTTGAGCAAGATCTCACCAATAGCTCCTGGCTGATAAACCGGACTATTTTTCATGCACACGTGCGTTCCGTAACTGATGTCACTCGACGGTACGGTAGATGGTCTGTGCTTGCGTGATTTAGCCTTGTACTTTTCCCAGAGTTTTTTACGTTGCGCAAATGGTAAAACACCCCTGAAAAAAAGCATTATGGCACATAAACAATCTCGATCCATTATGCTGCGCAAATAGATTTACGTGCGAACTAATGTTTAGAGAGAGAAGTCACTCACCACCAATATAACGTTCCACTTTCAAGTCTTGCGACAGTGTACAGAGCACACGTATGAAGCGACACGATCTTATCCAGAGTAAACTCAGTGAAAGCTTGCGCCGGATGTTCAAGACGAGAAGCAACATGTCCTAAAAGTTCATCGAGCCAAGTCGCTACCTTGCCAGTCTCCGTACTGACGGAACACCGAATCGCCGTAGCAGATATATTAATTATCTTTTCCGTCGTCAATGCTAGAGGAATGGTCTTCGGATGGTGAACATTTGGATTCTGTAAAAAAAAAAATTGAAAGATGTAATAAACGCGACATGTACATGAACGAGGACATAGTGACGATATAAAGTTTGTAAGTACCTCTGCATTCTTATATGGTTCCGATTCGGTCCATTTCCATTGATACAACTGTCCCGACACAGAAACTGCGATTAGTTCGCTATAAAGTGCTGAAATTTGTACAAAACGGGGCACTGGATCGCTACTTCGATCGTGCCACCATTCCAGCTCTTCGGATATCCATAAAGGGCTCTGTGAAGCTAACTCTTTCTTCTTATTATCTGGAATACGTAACACGTGAAGAATTACAATTCTGTTTGCTTAACTGAGCACATTCGATTTTTATGTGCTGTCGCACAACATACCTGAATCCTTCTCCCACGAATCTTTCAGAGCGGTTTCCAACCAACGACGCGGGCCATAATATTGACGATCTCGCCATCTACTAAAACTATCACGATCTCTATCCCTGTCGGATGAACGTTCGCCCTCACGATCATTGCTTACTAATCGACGTGAAGAACTTCCACGACTGAAAGCAGTAACGATATCATTTTAGAATATATAAGCGAGAAAAGTACATATACTTATAACGATGTATATTGCAAAACTCACTTCCGCATTCCTGTGTAACCAAACATATCTTCCGAGAACATAGAATCAGCGTCAATTATAACTGAATGTTCGTTGCTAAAACCGCCATCCAAAAGGGATATAAGATCTTCCGGGACATAACTATCAGCCGCGTCTTCCGCATCATCACCTTCTTCGTCGTCTCGTGATAAAAGATTGTTTACCGCTAAGTTTACGTCTAGATTTGTACGCTGCAAATATAAAATAATAATTATTTCGTTGAATCACGTTATCTTCTTATTGTTATTATTTCCTCATTATCGCATTTAAAGTGATCAGATTTCTCATCTCTAAATTCGTAACACTTCATAAATATGTGAAAGGGAGAAGAATCACTGAAAATGTTACATATAAAAGTGATCTCAAGAAAATTCACAGCTCTGATAAATATAGTAACTTTGTTTTTCTTTTTAATTTTACATAAGGATACTAACAATTTTATCTTAATAATATTTCTATTTCCACTGTAGTAGATCTTTGTAGTTGTTGAATTATTTTTCATACATCTCTAAATAAAATATTGTTTTATATATATAATATTTATATGTTATAATTTAATATACACAAAATTATAACATATAAATATTATATATATAAAACAATATTTATAGACGTATGAAAAATAATTCAACAACTGCAAAGGCCTGCATAGCGTAAATAGAAATATTATTAAGATAAAATTGTCAGTATCCTTATGTAAAATTAAGAAAACAAAGTTACTATATTTATCAGAGCTGTGAATTTTGTCGAGATTATTTTTTATCAGAAGCATTTTAAGAATCCTCTGAGCCGGAATATACCGAGAGTTTGGTCGAATTCGAAGTAAATCGGCGTCGCGGACAGCATTAAAAAAAACTGGATCAAAGGGTGAAAAAACGGGACTTCTGATCACTTTGTGTCGTACCACATTCTTATTGCTATATAAACAAATATAAACAAAACGTATTCGGAAACCTGTAATTCTCGGATGATTAGATTACGACTTTTTCCTTGCAACACCACTTGTGCCTGCGATATAAGATCTTCTGGCACAAAGGGAGCTGGCACAGACGCGATAGGACGCGAACTGCTGCCGCTCCCTCCTCCCATGATCACTCCTGGCGGTCCTATACGACCACCGCCGCTGCTACCTCCACCACTGCTACCTCCACGTATCGCCGAACTACGCATAATACGTGCTCGCGAACGCGATATGCCTGCTCTACTACCACTGCTACTGCTTCCATTCCCATTTGGTGTGGAATTAGAATTTCCAACATGGCTTTTACTCGTACTACAACAACATCAATAACGACATCAATAACATACTTTCCATCCAGAGTGAAATATTAGGCCTATTCTTTGTAGCTGCACTGCTGAATTAGTGCAACAAGTTAAAGTGAGAAAATGTATATTTGTCTCACTTCAATATATTGCATCAATTCAACAGTGCAGCTACAAAGAACAGGCCTATTAAACCGTCACGTTTTTTCTCTCCCTTACTTACTTTCTGTTAGGTTCACTTTTACTCAAGTCCAATCTATCGGATAGTACAGTAAATGCAACTCTGCAAATTCTATTGTCCTCTGTGAGGAGAGCAATATGCGTTGGTCCGACTACAACACGTTTTATCGACACTTTCAACCCATTGAAGGCTGGTGGTGTTACGTATCCATATCTGTTTATTTTATCTGCTACTTCTCGTAGCCTAAAAACATTTTTAGAAATGATTGGATAAGTCCAATTTATATTTTGTTTAAACTATATTTTTTTGTTAACAAAAATTGGTATTATCATTTCTTTTAATCAAAGATTGATGATGCTTCACTTTCTTATTAATCTTATGACTGAATTCGAGCAAATAAAAAATGAAGTTTTTCACCTTGATACAATTGAAATATCTTATTCATTTCTGAATCTTTAAAATTACTTACTCTCTTTCAATTTATCATTTAAAATAAAACTCGCTCATTCTAAGATATTCTTCATAGAATGTTTAAGAGACAAAAGTTAAATATTGCTAATAAAGTTTTCATATAAAGTAAAATTATAAATAGTTTTTATATAAAATAAAATTATAAATATTAATATATGATTCATTAATAATACTTGAAATATGTAAATAAATAAATAATCTACAATTAACATTTTTATATCTTTTATTTTTGTGTATGGGATATGGTTTAATTTTTTATATTTAGTGATATAATTTATGTGCATTTATTACATTAATGTATTTGATTAGATGTTTATGCATGAAGCAACATTTTTGGTTTACTAAATGAGTGTACCTCTGTGAAATAAATAAATATATAAATAATGTTCTTACATATATAAAATATATTTTTATGACTATGGTATTACAATGTTTTATGAAATATTACTGCGAATAGACACTGAGCGCAATTGTTGGCCAGCTCGATTAGCTCTTAGAAACGCATCTGGCTGACTAATAATATTAATCGGAATCATTAAGAAAACGACAAGTTATCAATGACGACCCGATTCCGACATATCCACGGTGACAATATGTTTACTGTGCATATCGTCGCATATCCTATGGTTCGCGACAATCGGACGTTACACACGCATCGCCCTCGCCAACGTATTCGATATGCACGCATTATAAAACGATCACTTGGCGTCGAGTTTATAGGTTGCCATTAAAGAAGAAAGTGTGATATCATCTTATGAATACGTGGACAAGCGTAAGACGCGTGCTCGTCGTGCATATGCATGCAGATAAGCACGATAAGCCGGGGAACAGGAACGCGATCGGATGTGCGTAGCGCGATGCGAAACTTCGGGAAGAAGGGAAGAAGTGATGAGATCGGATGGAAGTACACATACTAAAGAATGCGCTAATGGAAAACCGATAGTGGATGACGACTCCATACCTGTCGTTGAGCTGGTCGTCCGTCCCTGGGAGGGGATGTACGACGAAATGAATCGAGGACATAATGTATCAGATCGATGCTCGCTCTCGCGGTTTTAGACGCCTTTTATCCTTAATGTACACAAAAATTCATTGCACCAGCAGAACACGATGGTCAGCCATGTTTCCGAAGAAACATCCAGTTACGTGTTCGCGAAGACGAATATGGACGACCCCACTGTTACGTTCCCAAACGCACGAGCGGTCGCGCCACTAGTAGACTCTTGTCAGATCTGTTCTTTATAGATATACTGATGGCTCCTGCACACAGGATGCGGTAACGCCTGCCGCACGGCGGAAATCCGCACGACAGCCAATCAATATGTTGTTTTTCCGTAAGAGCTAGAAGATTACTACAGAAAGCAGCATATTAATTGGCTGTCACGCGAACTTCCACCGCGCGGCAAATGTTACCGCGTTCTGTGTGCAGGAGCCATAAGAGCCATTGCACAATTCCAGGCTACAGACAATAGGAATAAACATTAGCCATTAGGAATAGGAAATAGGAATTCGAATTGGTCAATTATTTCTATTCCCTGTTTCTATTGTTTATTTCTAATGCCTATTTCTATTGCCTAGAGAACCTCTAGTACAGAGAATACCAACTTGGTCATGTAACCAGCTATTCAGCTACTCTGCGATTGGCTGACATAAACATGTATGGACATTGCGACGTCGATGCAAAACCATATATATATACAGAGTATAGCAAAAGTACCGGAACGGCAAGATAACTCGGCGGGGGAGCATTTTAGAGAAAAATGTTTCAGACAAAAGTTGTAAGGCTTAAAAAAAACGCATTCAACGATAGTAGTTATTTGACATAGGATGGCGTCGCCAAGGTCAGGACAAGGTCAACTTTGCTTTTTTTAAATAGAAACATATTTTTTATTACGGCATTTTATTCAACGTAAAAACGCAAACAACTTTTGCTTGAAAAATTTTTTATACGACCTCTATTTTCTAAGATATTTACGTAAATATCTACAAGATTATTGGTTGATAAAATTCAAGTAAAAAATTATTGAAACCAATAATCTTGTAGATATTTACGTAAATATCTTAGAAAATAGAGGTCGTATAAAAAATTTTTTCAAGCAAAAGTTGTTTGCGTTTTTACGTTGAATAAAATGCCGTAATAAAAAATATGTTTCTATTTAAAAAAAGCAAAGTTGACCTTGTCCTGACCTTGGCGACGCCATCCTATGTCAAATAACTACTATCGTTGAATGCGTTTTTTTTAAGCCTTACAACTTTTGTCTGAAACATTTTTCTCTAAAATGCTCCCCCGCCGAGTTATCTTGCCGTTCCGGTACTTTTGCTATACTCTGTATATATATATGGTTTTGCATCGACGTCGCAATGTCCATACATGTTTATGTCAGCCAATCGCAGAGTAGCTGAATAGCTGGTTACATGACCAAGTTGGTATTCTCTGTACTAGAGGTTCTCTAGGCAATAGAAATAGGCATTAGAAATAAACAATAGAAACAGGGAATAGAAATAATTGACCAATTCGAATTCCTATTTCCTATTCCTAATGGCTAATGTTTATTCCTATTGTCTGTAGCCTGGAATTGTGCAATGGCTCTTATGGCTCCTGCACACAGAACGCGGTAACATTTGCCGCGCGGTGGAAGTTCGCGTGACAGCCAATTAATATGCTGCTTTCTGTAGTAATCTTCTAGCTCTTACGGAAAAACAACATATTGATTGGCTGTCGTGCGGATTTCCGCCGTGCGGCAGGCGTTACCGCATCCTGTGTGCAGGAGCCATCAGTATATCTATAAAGAACAGATCTGACAAGAGTCTACTAGTGGCGCGACCGCTCGTGCGTTTGGGAACGTAACAGTGGGGTCGTCCATATTCGTCTTCGCGAACACGTAACTGGATGTTTCTTCGGAAACATGGCTGACCATCGTGTTCTGCTGGTGCAATGAATTTTTGTGTACATTAAGGATAAAAGGCGTCTAAAACCGCGAGAGCGAGCATCGATCTGATACATTATGTCCTCGATTCATTTCGTCGTACATCCCCTCCCAGGGACGGACGACCAGCTCAACGACAGGTATGGAGTCGTCATCCACTATCGGTTTTCCATTAGCGCATTCTTTAGTATGTGTACTTCCATCCGATCTCATCACTTCTTCCCTTCTTCCCGAAGTTTCGCATCGCGCTACGCACATCCGATCGCGTTCCTGTTCCCCGGCTTATCGTGCTTATCTGCATGCATATGCACGACGAGCACGCGTCTTACGCTTGTCCACGTATTCATAAGATGATATCACACTTTCTTCTTTAATGGCAACCTATAAACTCGACGCCAAGTGATCGTTT